GCTACACGGAGCAGAACTAAACTACCCCATTCACGACAAGGAAGCCTTAGCGATAGTCATAGCCTTCAAGGCGTGGAGGTGTTACCTAGAGGGAGCCAAGACTACAGTCTATACTGACCACTGCAGTCTCAAATACCTGAAGTCACAGCCGACACTCTCACGACGACAGGTGCGGTGGGTGGACTTCCTGGAAACTCACTTCCACTACGACATCGTCTACAAGCCCGGGCTACACAACAAGGCAGACGCGTTGAGCCGCCCCGGACATGTAGCAGGCATCCAGCTCGACGGGATGAACCCTCTGCTCAAGGGTCTATTCCAACATGGGTACTCCGTGGACGCAGAGATCACTACAGCACAGAACCAGAAGCTGTTACAGTGGGAGAAAGACCTAGCGGTAAGGAAGGGTTCAGGAAAGATTTGGGTACCGAATTACGCCCCGCTACGGCAGATCCTATTGGAGGAATTTCACGACGTACCTTACGCGGGACATTTCGGGAGCAACAAAACGTTAGCAGGGATACCGAAGTATTACTACTGGCCCGGGATGGCAGCAGACGTGCAGCAATTCGTCACCTCATGCGGCACGTGCCAGCGGATGAAGAGCAGCAAGCAGAAAAAAGCGGGGTTACTTCAGCCTCTACCCGTACGGAAGCAGCCATGGCAGATCGTTAGCCTCGACTTTATCACAGGACTTCCTTCGACCTCACGGGGGCACGATTCCATCCTCGTAGTGATCGATAAGTTCTCCAAAATGGGTCACTTCATACCGACCAACGCCACAGCTACAGCCGAAGCAACTGCTTGCCTCTTCTTCGACCGCATCATCACCATCCACGGCATCCCCGCTACACTCATCTCAGACAGAGACCCAAAATTCACCAGTAAGTTTTGGAAGGAGCTCATGGGACTGTTGGGGACAAAGCTTGCAATGTCTTCAGCATACCACCCCCAGACTGACGGACAGACAGAGCGACTCAATCAAGTGGTTGAACAGTTACTGCGCACAGCTTGCAAGGACGACGTCAGCCACTGGGACACACAGTTATCGACCCTAGAGTTCGCTTACAACAACGCATCACATGCGGCCACAGGGAAAACTCCTTTCTTCCTGTGTTACGGACGGGAACCACTCACACCACAGCAGCCAACTACACCGGCACACGTCCAAGCCGCACATGACTTCGTCACCACCATGCAACAGCTATGGGAGAAGACTCAGCGACGTCTCACCACGATGCAGAACTCCCAGAAGCAGTATGCCGATCGTCAGCGACGTGATCACTCAGTAGCAGTCGGAGATCAGGTGCTTCTTGACACGCGCAACTTGAACCTGTCTCACCTTCCATCCAAACTCCGGCCTCGCTTCTGTGGTCCTTTTCTCGTTGAGGCACAGGTGACACCAGTTACATTTCGCTTGCGCTTACCAGATACATGTAAGCTTCACAACGCTTTCCATGTCCAGCTACTGAAGCCCTACAAGGACCCCAACCAGCAGTTCCAGGGACGGCAACTACCGCCACCACCACCTGTTCTCATACAGGATGAACCCGAGTACGAGATCGAGCGCGTTCTCTCTCATCGGCGCCGCGGTGGCAAGACTCTCGAGTTCCTGATACGCTGGAAGGGATACGACCCCACTGAGGACAGTTGGGTTGCAGAAGCTGATATGGGCAACGCACGCCGTGCTCTCAAGGACTATCTTGTCAAGCAGGGTGTATCTCACGCCACCCAGCTTTGAGGGGGGGACGTGTGAGAGTATGACGGCTTATGCCAGCTATGCTTGCTTGCCTCTACTTTATCATGCTATTTCTAGCATAGGATGATTATATGCATGCATGAATTGCTTGATTTCCTAGGCTAGGTGCTTTCCTATATTCTATTATAGTTATAGCACCGAGCTAGGTTGCGTGCACCAAATTCTGGCTTTTCGGTTGCCACCGAATTGCCTTCTACCGAATTCGGTAAGGATCTGTTCGGGACGCTTCGCGACCCGCGGAACCTTCGCGTAACACCTGGTTACGGGGCCTTGTGTCGAGCCTATATATAGCCTCGTGTTGTACCCAGGTGGACATTCAATTCAATTCAATTTGAATCATCTTTTCTGAGCTCGATCCCAGATCCTCACAGGGAGTCTATTACGTAAAATCCGGGACCGGCCGCATATGGGTACCTGGATAAACACTGCTACGAGAATTACTGTTACAAGAGGCACACGACGGAGTTACCACGGGGCATTTCGGGGTAGAGAAAACACGGCAGCATCGGCAACGATATTATTACTGGCCCGAAATGTTGAACGACGTTCAACGACACGTGGCATCATGTCCCACTTGCCAGATCTTGAAGTCATCACGGAAGCGGCCGGCAAGACAGTTGCAGCCGATACCACCCCCAGAGCGTGTTTGGCAGCAGGTGACGATGGACTTTGTCACGGGGTTACCAGCCGGGGCGAGTGGGAACGACGCGATCCTGGTCGTCGTCGATCAACCGACGAAAATAGCACACTTCGCAGCCTGTAAGAAATCAATAACAGCCGACGAAACAGCGCGCCTCTTCATCTCCACCGTCGTTCGATTGCGCTGGATACCAGCAGCGATCATCAGCGATCGAGACACGGAATTCACCAGCAACTTCTGGCGGAACCTGTGGCAGCAGTTCGGCACGCGACTACAATTTAGCTCTTTGTACCACCCCGAGACCGACGGAAAGTCAGAGAGGACAAATCAGACCATGGAACAACTCATCCGAGCCACGTGTGAGGACCCAACCACCTGGGAACAACAACTGCCACTCATCGAGTTCGCGTACAACAACTCACCTTCCGCCACGACCCAACAGTTACCGTTTTACCTTAACTATGGACAAGACTCGACAGTACCCATGACCCCAAATCCCGACAACCCGGTGTCACGAGCACAACAGTTCGCCAAAATTCTACAAGCAGCACAAACCCTGTCAGAATCCCAACCACTAGACCATTGGGATAAAAGGGCTTGTTTCAGTAGCGGGTCAGTGCGCCCATAACCCCCCAGGCGAACGCGCCTGTAACCCTCTCCAGGATCAATCGGGCATCCACAGTGCAGATCTACTGACACCCCCCCACACTGGGAGGCCCAGGACTAAGCACAGCGGCAACGGCCTACATGTGCATACACCGGGAATCGAACCCGAGGCCGCTCTGATACCATGTCAGAATCCCAACCACTAGACCATTGGGATAAAAGGGCTTGTTTCAGTAGCGGGTCAGTGCGCCAATAACCCCCCAGGCGAACGCGCCTGTAACCCTCTCCAGGATCAATCGGGCATCCACAGTGCAGATCTACTGACGAACCCGGGCAGCAGACGCAATTAAAAAATCGAACATCATCGCTAAACGCAACGCCGACCGCCACCGCCGACCTGTCACCTACCAGCCCGACACCCAGAACCTCCGCCTGCCCATTACCCCAAAACGTCATCCTCGATACTGTGGACCATTCCGCATCAGCCACATTATTACACCCGTCACCGCCCACCTCCTCCTCCCCGCTGGCTGGTACATCAGCCCGTCTTTCCACGTCAGTCTGATTTGCCCCTACATATCATCAACGAGCCAATTGCCACACAACCGCCCAGCCAACATGACCCGACCGCCGACCGAGCCAATCATCACGCCCGATAAAATTTTGAGCCGCTGAGTTCGTGACCCACGAGGAGCTCGACGGATCGAATTCCTGATCCGCTAGAGAGACCTTACACCCACGGAAGACAATAGGGTTCCCCTGGATTGAATCGAAAACCACCCTGTCCTCATAGAGTAGTACCTGCGCAGCCGAAATTTCCGGGATGTGCACGCGCTTTCGTAAGGAGGGCCTCCTTAAAAAGGGGGGGGGGTAGCGTAAGGAAAAAATAATTTTCCTTAGCGTCCCTGCTCAGCGCGTACACCACTGTAGCACCACAGTCAGCATCGTTACCACTCGCAACCCTCGCATCGACAATCCTCCCGCCACCTTCGCACGTCGCACCTCGACCTCACGGCTCGACGGGTAACCCACGCTCCGGGCCTCCGCCTCAACATTTTCCCAACCTCAGTTCCAGGCCCGTCGCGCGTCAACCACAGTTCATTACCGTTTCCATTGTACCGTAGTTTCGCTATATATTCTTCGCTCATCCATTCTAGCTTCTAATTTTGAGAGCAATGCCAACAGTTGAGTCGAAAATGTTTTGTTCGTGGTGGTGCTATGCAATATGAAATAGGAGTACCGTGAACTGGAACAAGAGATATGTGGGGGTAATCATTCTATGATACAATTGATATATACAGCAGCAAGGCCCACCCCCTACAGGACTAATAAATGCTCCAGCAAAAGGGGAAAGAAAGGTAGATTATCCTAATTGAACGAGGCACACATTAGAAGCGCGTATTAACTTTCCCCAGCTGCCTTGTACTGCCGATCCCTTTTAGCCAATCAGGCTGCACCTCTTTCCCCCCCCTCTCCCTACACCTGTCAGGAATGTGACTAGCAAGTCGATATCCTCACTCACACCACACACCATCAACCCTCACCATCATTTCAAGCAGCTGGAAGGCAACTCAGGCAGACATTGCACCTCAGCTAGCTGCTCTTGCAGTGTCCGAGCTTACCCACTTGCCTCCTGCCCACCACGTCCCACAGTACCATCTGCAAAAGCTGGGGTCCCCTCAGAAAACAGTTTTTTTTAGGCTACTCAAATCTCTACTCCCTGGCCACCACACCGTGGCGAACCAACTGTCGAAGCCGCTCATTCTCCTGCACAAGAAACAAGTCGAGACATGAAACAAGTCTTAGGGACATGAAGGATACTGATGGTAGCAGCAGCAGCACTGACAGCAGAAGCAGCAGAAGCACTGGCAGCAGCAGAACCGGCATCAGCGGCAATGGCATTCACAGCAATGACCGCAGCAGCAGCAGCACATACGAACCTTTGCCACGGCCTCAACAGCAGCCTCCAGCTGGCTGTTCTCCTGCGCCAGCGCCTCACAGCGCTCCTCCATTGCTGCTGCCCGGTACCGCTTCCTCTCCCTCGCCTGCTGCGCGTTCACCCTGTTGCGCAGCAGCCTGCTTGCCATTGCCATCCCGGCCCCCCGCCCCCCCCAACCCCCACATACACACCCCGCCATGCACGGCGCCACAAGAGCAGGTGGCGCGTGCATGGGCCAGGGGCCAAGACGAGCATTGCATGCCACAGGGAAGGACACGCACAGCAGAAGATACAGAGAGCGGAGGAAAGTAGTTGAGTGCCTGGGAGTTTACAAAGTCGTGAGTGAATCTGACGAAGTAGGGCAAAAACGGGGAGAGGGGAGAGGACAAAGAACAGCTGAGCTGACTAACAATATGGACAGTGTGTATACACCGATGAGTGGTGGTTACTGAGTGAGTATGGCAAGGAAAGTACAAGACTTACTTATCCACGCCCACACTCACTCACCGTTTGTGGCGGCTGCTTATAGTGCATGTTGGCACTGTTGCTGCTGGTGCTGCTGGCACTGGTACTGGCAGTATGGGTGGTAGCGCGGGTGCCAGCACTGGTGCTGGTACCATGGGCTGTGGCGTAGAAGACAGCACTGGCGCATCAGTTATCATGGGCGGCAGTGCTGATGCATGCGAATGCAGGTTCAGGTTGCTGCCAGGGGCGAATGGAAGGAGAGCTGCAGCGGACGCTGCAGGAGCAAACGCGGCGGCGGCGGAAGAGGAGGGGGAGAGAACAGACTCGGAGATGTTGTGAGGAGGGAAAGCAGATGGGAAGGCGGATGGGAGAGAGCTGAGAGAAGCGGTGGAGAAGGAGAGGGAGGAGGCGGAGAGGTGGTGAGGTGGAGGAGGGAGGGCGGTGGGACCGGGGTGAGAAAGGGGCCTGGCGAGTGGCGCGCCAGGCAGGGACATGGGGGCGAGAGTGCGACTGGAGAACATGGGAACGTGTGCTGCAGGGGACAGTGGAAGGGGAGGAAGGGGGGTGTGGAAGACAGGGAGCAGAGGGGGGGGGAAGTTTCAGATATGGAGGCGCGAAAGCTGTGAGCACTTGAAGTGAAGAGAGAGAGGGAGGAGCATGGAGAGAGAAGCAAGAGGAGCAGGAAACGCGGAGAGAGAAAAGGACATCATGGAAGGCTCACGGATCATCCGACTGACCTGTTATTAGGGACCCATGCTGCTGCCGCTGGTGCTGCTGCTGCTCCTCCTGCTGCCGCTGGTGCTGCTGCTGCTGCTCCTGCTCCTGCCTTTGCAGTCGTTGCTGTTGTTGATTGTGAATGATGTGTTGCGCGGGTGGTGGCGCGGCTGCTTGCGCCGTTGGTGTTGGCAGCGTGGCCGCCAGTGGAAATCCCGAGATCTGATGTGAAGAGCTTGAGCCATTGCTGTATGGCCGCACAGGCACAGACATATAGGCAGATCAAGCACACGGATCCAATAATCATAACCACACAGAAAGAAATGCATGAAGTGACAAGGAACAGGAGCCAAAGCACCATGAACATGAGAGAGATCAAGAGAAAGAAGATTACAGGGAAAGTGGGAAAAGGAGAAGAAGTAGGGGAAGGAGGGAGGGAGGGAGGGAGGGAGGGATGGAGGGAGGGAGGGGACGATGGGGGGGGACTGAAAGGCTGGGGAAGGGGGAGGGTGGCAGAGGGGAAAAGTGGCCAGAGAAAAAGGCGAGAATGAGCGAGCGACGAAAGGCGGAAAAAGCACACCGACGCTAAGGGAGGGAGTGGTTTCAGGCAGAGAGCATTACGCGGTGGCGGCGGGGAGCACGGACGGCGAGGGGACAATGAGGTGCTGTAGCGAGGCAAGCAGGGCGTGCACTCGCGCGGAAGCAGAAACACCGGCGGAGGCGGCGGCGGAAACAGTGGCGGAGGTGGAGGCTGAGGCGGGAACAGAGGCGGAGGCGGAGTGCGCAGGCCTGGACGCGTTGTTGTTGGCGCGAGCTGCCGTGGTTATTAGGGAACCTGGTGAGGGTTCACATGCACGCACGCACGCGCACCGCACGCGCACCACACGCGCACCACACGCGCACCACACGCGCACCGCACGCGCACCGCACGCGCACCACACGCGCACCACACGCGCACCGCACGCGCACCACACGCATAGGCAGACGCACGTGGTGGGAAAGAGGAAGTGAACGAGCCAGCATGAGCGAAAGCGATGGACACAAAAGGTAAGGGAGAAGAGAGAGAGAGAGAGAGAGAGAGCGAGCGAGAGAGAGAGAGAGAGAGAGAGAGAGAGAGAGAGAGAGAGAGAGAGAGAGAGAGAGAGAGAGAGAGAGAGAGAGGCGGAGGGGCCCTGGGGGAGGGAGAAGGGCGGAAAAAGGGACGTTTTGTGCTCGTGAACGGCAGAAGCGAACGAACCCCATCGTGCATGCATCCATTTTGTCGCATCGACCCATCCCGTCGCATGCACCCATTCCGTCGCATGCACCCATCCCGTCGCATAACATCGTCGTTCAAGCCGGTCGCATACCCGTCGCGCCGGCCGAAGAAGCATTACTCCATCGGTACCCCGTCGCCGCCTCGTCGCCATGCTTACTAAAGGCCAGCCCGCTCCCTCCTCCGCTGCCAGAACACGCGGTAACACCGCCAAACCCGTTGCACGCGCCGGCGATCCCGCTCGACGAGGAGACCAGAATCGATGGAGGAAGCGACGAACACGCACTGTGCAAATCAGCCACGAAGCCCGTATGGATACCTTTTATCGCCTGTTGCTGCTGCTGCTGCTGCTGATGTTGCTGCTGCTGATGCTGCTGTTGTTGCAACAACTCCCATTCCAGCTCCTGCAGGCGTTGCTGCTGAATCCGCTCCAAAAGCTCCAGTTTTCGCTCAATCAAACCCGCATCTTGCGCCGTAAATGACGCTACTGTTGGTTGCTGTATCCCGGATTCGCTAGCCACATTAACCAAGAGATCCGACTTTATCGACGGCTCTACAGTTCCGGTATTTGAGGCGACTGCCAGGGACGGTGCCTCGAAGCGCCTCCTGGAAAACCTAGGGACGACGGCGTCCCGCTCCCGTAAGGTGCGGGGAGCCACGTCAGCGTCCCCGAATATGACTTTGAGAAGTCGCTGCGTCTCCTCCTCCATCCTATTGCGCCGCGCCAGGGCGTCCATTGCAGCAGCAGCGCCGAGAAGGTCCGACGCATCTGTGGGACGGGCTAAACGCGCCGCGGAGTTGAGCCACGCTGTGGCATCCATTACCAAGGGAACTTTGATGGGAGAAAATTACCAAGGGGTACGAGCAGTGTGGGTGAAGTACCTGGACGAGAGTGTACACCGGGGGGATGTTCGGCGGAAAACACTAGTTTCGGGGGCGGGGGGACAGACAGAGCATCCGGGGAGGGGAGGAGGGTGAGGTGATGCGTGTGTGCTAGCGCGGAAAGGAAAAAGGGGAGAGGGGGGGGGAAGGGAATACGCAGCTCTGGGACGGAATTCTGGGCTGCATGCAAAAGCTGGACGTACCCGCAATAGCGGCTTAACTATGTCCTTTAGTGGTTACTATGAATGGAAGAGCCAAAGGTGTATTTATCGGGTTTGATAGAAAGTAGAAGAACATACAAGCCAGAATAGATAATTACAATTGACAATGGAACTTTGAGCCATGCATGGGAGCATCCTATTGAAAAAACTGAATAAACAATTGCAAGTTATGTCAATTTGTTGATTCTAAGCGGGGTTTCTCTAGTAAAATCCAAAATCTAAATATATCTACAAACTATAATTTGGTTTGTTGCGACATGAAACTAAGTCAGGTACATTTCTGTACACAACAAGAGCAAGAAGTACCCAGTATGAAGTGTCAAACTATAAAGCTGCTTATGTTGTGTCCTTTAGGGCTACTGCTTTAGGTGCTTGTAAGTCTGCTCTAGGTGCTAGTGAGTTTGTTCTAGGTGTTGGTGAGTCTGCTCTAGGTGCTGGTGAGTTTGCTCTCTCTGGTACTACGCCTGCTGAGGCCTTGCACACCTTCACGCTTGACTCAAGTGCTTCCCGCTGCTTCTTTCGCGACAGCACCACAGTCACACCACTCGCAGCACCGGTTGCAATCTCTCTGGCCGACCCCTCTAGGGGACCTTTCACGTTCATCCACTGTTCTCCCGTCTCCAGCGGTTCCGTCTGGCTCACTGTCAGGTCTTCACCTCCCCTCGTTCTCTACGAACTTGGTGAGCAACGCAGTCCTTCAGGATGAATGGGTCAATACCTTTATTCCTGGAGGACAGCGTGTGGCGATCTGCACGTGTGCACGAATGGACCGTCTGTCAGATTATCATAGCTGATGCATGTTTGTAGGCTATGGTGGGGTAGCACATATGGGGTACAGCTTTCTAGGGTTGTATTTGTACCCAACTCTGACTTAGTCATTTCATTCCTGTTCATTGATTCTGACATGGTATAGAGCGGGTCCTTCCTAAGGACCGTTTTTTTTTTAAGGGCCCACCCACGATTTTTTTTTCCTGCCCGGAGCGCGCCCTATTCTCCCCGAGGCGCGCTCCCCCCTAGTGCTTGTCGCGCTGCCCTTGTGGCGCCCCGCGAGTCGCGCGCGCGACTCCTTTTTTTTTCGCGCGCGCGGCCTGGGCCCCACGTCGCGCTGGCCTTACGGCCGCGCCGCGCCGCCCTCTCGGCTCTGCTGCGCCCCGCCGCCCTCACGCCGGCCGCGCGGCCTCTTCGTCGCTGCAGCGGGCCCCGTCACCTGACGGCCCCGCCGTCCTCTTTTGACGGCCCCGCCGTCCCCTACTCTCGGCCCCGCCGTTGCAACCTGACGGCCCCGCCACTGCACCTGTCGGCCCCGCCGCTGCACCCTGACGGCCCCGCCGTCCCCTGTCCAGGCCCCGCCGCTGCACCCTGCCGGCCCCGCCGCTGCACCTCTGTCGGCCCCGCCGCTGCACCCTGACGGCCCCGCTGTCCCCTGTCACGGCCCCGCCGTCCCCTGTCACGGCCCCGCCGCTGCACCCTGACGGCCCCGCCACCGCACCAGTCGGCCCCGCCGCTGCACCCTGACGGCCCCGCCGTCCCCTGTCCCGGCCCCGCCGCTGCACCCTGCCGGCCCCGCCGCTGCACCCTGACGGCCCCGCCGTCCCCTGTCACGGCCCCGCCGCTGCACCCTCACGGCCCCGCCACTGCACCAGTCGGCCCCGCCGCTGCACCCTGACGGCCCCGCCGTCCCCTGTCCCGGCCCCGTCCTGCACCCGAGCCGCCCTGCCGCCGAGCCGCCCGGGAGCCGAGCCGCCCTGCACCCGAGCCGCCCTGCCGCCGAGCCGCCCGGGAGCCGAGCCGCCCTGCACCCGAGCCGCCCTGCCGCCGAGCCGCCCGGGAGCCGAGCCGCCCAGCAGCCGAGTCGCTGAGTCGCCGAGCCGCCCTTCTGCAGAGTTGCCCGGCGTGCCCTGCCTGGTGAGCACAGTCGCACTGTCACTGCGTCCTCTTCCCCTACTGCTTGCACTGCTTCGCTGTCGTCGTCATGGCTACCCCTAGTGTCCTAGCTTTTGACGCTGAGGGTCGAGCCATTGACTTTGAGGTCTGGGTAGACGACCTGCAGTTGTTTTTACAGTGCGATAGGGCAGACGGCCTCTCTCTCTTTGACCTTACCTCTGGCGCCTCTCCTGCTCCTGCTGCTGATGCTGATCCCACTGTGCGCTCTCAGTGGGCCACCCGCGATGCTGCTGCACGTCTTGCTGTGCGTCGCCACCTCCCTACCTCTGAGCGCGCGCACTTTAGTCAGTACAAGAGTGCTCAGACCTTGTACGACGCTGTAGTTGCGCGCTACTCCTCCCCTGCCACTGCTGCACTGAGCCGTCTCATGCTTCCCTACCTCTTTCCTGACCTCTCTGCCTTTCCCACTGTCGCTGATTTCATTACACACCTCCGCACTAGTGACACTCGCTACCGCGCCGCCCTTCCTGCTGAGTTATGCGCTAAGAACCCCCCCCCCATGTACATCGCTCTCTACTACGTAGTCGCGCGCCTCCCTGATTCCCTTCGCGTCGTCAGGGACCACTTTCTCGCAGTCTGTCCCACCACCCTCACCGTCGACCTCCTCGAGAAGGCCCTCCTCGCAGCCGAGAAGAGCATAGTCGCTGTAGGTGCTTCTCGTGGTGACCCTCGCACCCCCATCTTTGAGGGGTGCTCTCCTTCCCCCTTGCTGCCCTCTGTTGCCTCTGCTGCTGCTGCCGACCTGCTTGGTCTTGAGACGGTCGGCGCGGCGTCTGCCCCTAGTGGGAGACGTCGCTCCAGCAAGGGCAAGGGGGGCAAGGGCGCGGGTGGAGCTGGAGGGGGCGGTGGCGGTGGCGGCGGTGGCGGCGGAGGGAGTGGGGGTGGCGGCGGGACTAGTGGCGGGGGTGGTGGTGGTGGTGGCAGCAGCGGCGGAGACGGTGGTGGTGGTGCCAGCGATGGTGGTGGAGGCAGCGGCGGAGGTGGAGGCGGCGGAGGTGGAGGCGGTGGAGGCGGCAGCGGAGGTGGCGGTGGTGGTGGAGGAGGTGGAGCTGGTAGGGGTGGTACCCAGCAGCGTAGCGGCGGTGGTGGTGGCCAGCGCTCGCAGCGGCAGCAGCAGCAGCGCTCGCGGGACATCCCTCCGCCTCAGCAGCTTCGTGAGTGGTACGCTGGGCGTCAGAGGGGTGGGGGTACTGGTCCCTGCACCTACGTTCTTCGTTCCGGCGACCGCGCGGGTGAGCAGTGTGGGGGTGCCCACGCCGCCCAGCGCTACTTTGGCCGCCTGACGGACGCTTGGCGTCAGCAGTTCCCTGGGGCTAGTGAGATCCCTCGCTGGGATGAGCTTCTTAGGGCTGGTGTAGCGATCTTTGATCTTGATTTTGATGCTATCCTTGCTGCTATGTATGCTGTGACTTATAGTGAGGAGAATGAGGGTTACCGGTGTTTCCAGCCCGACCCGGGCATTGGTACTGCTGCACTAGGTGCTTGTGAGGCTGCTGCTCTAGGTGCCAGTGCGTCTGCGCTCTCAGGTACTGGTGAGACTGCGCTCTCAGGTACTGCGTCGTCCTCGTCCTCCCTCACTTTCACACTTGACTCCAGGGCTTCTCGCTCCTTCTTTCGAGACCGCACTACCCTTACGCCGCTCGGCCGGCCGGTTGCAGTCTCCCTTGCTGACCCCTCTGGGGGTCCTGTCCTGTCCCACTTCTCCACTGTCCTCCCGTGTCCGGCTGCCCCTTCGGGCACCCTGTCTGGTCTGTACCTTCCCTCGTTCTCTACGAACTTGGTGAGTGGCGCGGACCTGCAGGATGTGGGGGTTCACCAGTTCACTCCTGCGAGTCAGCGGGTGACCCACTGCACGGAGGCACGCACAGGCCGACACCTGGCCACGTTCTCGCGTCGGCCGGGGTCGAGTCTCTACACCCTGACCGTTGAGTCTCCTCCTGTCCCTGCGTCTGGTCAGGTGGCTGCGTCAGGTCAGGTGCTTGCTGCTGCGTCCCGGTCAGGTCCTGAGTCTGCCCCCTGTTCTTGTCGCCTCCTGTCTCACGAGACTCTCCTGTGGCACCACCGTCTTGGCCACCCCTCCTTGCCCCGTCTTCGGAGCATGGCTTCCCGTGTCCTTGTCTCTGGTCTTCCCCAGTCTCTCCCTCCTCTCCCCTCCGGGCCAGGACCTTCCTGTGTCCCCTGTGTCGAGGGTCGCCTCCGGGCTACTCCTCACTCCTCCCACTTCCCCGCGACAGAGGCTCCCCTGCAGACGCTTCACATGGATGTGTGGGGCCCAGCCCCCGTCCGTGGGCAGGGTCACGAGCGCTACTTCCTGTTGGTGGTTGACGACTACTCGCGTTACACCACAGTCCTCCCCTTGTGCAGCAAGGGTGCGGTCACTGAGGTGCTGATCGACTGGATCCGCGAGGCTTGTCTCCAGCTCAGGAAGAGCTTCGGCTCAGACTTTTCTGTTCTGCGTCTGCACTCGGACAGAGGCGGAGAGTTCTCTTCTCGCCTTCTGCGAGACTACTGTCGTGCACGGGGGATCCGCCAGACCTTCACGCTTCCGGACTCACCACAGCAAAATGGGATTGCTGAGCGCCGCATTGGCATGGTCATGGATGTCGCTCGTACGTCCATGATGCATTCGGCTGCCCCCCATTTTCTGTGGCCGTTTGCGGTGAGGTACGCGGCGCATCAGCTCAACCTTCACCCCCGGGTCTCTCGGCCTGCGATGTCCACAGCCTTGCTGTGGACAGGGAAAGTTGGCGATGCGTCTGTGTTCCGTGTCTGGG